CTTGGCTTTGGGTTGCTGCCAGTGCCCTATAGCACAGGGCAGGGTTGGGGGGCTGGAGGCCTTTGCTCCCAGAGCTCTGGTGTTGATGGGCTGTCAGAGTGGTGATCCAGGGGTTCTCCAGGTGCGGGAAGCTGGCGTTCCTGGTGGGAGCAGCCCAGGCATCAGGGGTTTAAGATAGCCACGAAATGGCTGGTGTGATAGAAGTGCACAACCAGAGCTCCTCAAGGGGTACCGAGTGTGGTTCCTGAGGTTTAAAGCCACGAGCTTTCATGGGGAGCAGCAGACCTCCTTGTTAGGGCATTTTACTTCATTACCAGTGAGACTTTCTGTAAGGTAATTCCAAACCCTATGAGCAAGTTTTGCCATTGCCAAACTGAATGGGAAATAGCAAAAGTTGGATAAGAGCCTCCTTAAACTGTGTTACCTTCCCGGGCAGGCACTTACAGATGAGCTGTCACCAAGTTGCATAGTCCTGGCCTAAAGCTTCCCAGGGGCTCTGATCTGGAAACCATATTTGGAGGGTCTGGTCCCAAGCTGGTTTTTGTGGTGGCTGCGCTCAGCCTTCACTCGGGTCTCCATGAGAGGCACAGGTCAGGATTCCCAGGTTGCATAAAGGGTACTGGTGTCCTCCTCCTCCTCCATCAGCGGGGCTACAACCACCTCTGAGCACTGTGGGTTGTTCTGGTTGATGTTTCATTGGTTGGGGGCTGACAATGCTGAGATTAAGCTTAGCAACAGGAGGCCAAGGATGCCTGGATGTGGTGATAACCTGGGCAGTGGCATTGAAAATACTGGATTTGAGTGCAGATGTAGCAAAACTGGGGAGAATGGGGTAAAGTTACTAGAGGCAGATTTTTGCTGGGGCATCGAAAAGGAGTGTTAAGATCCATGGACAAGGTTATGGAGGTACGTGAATGATGTGAGTGGGGCTGTGTAGTGGTTCTGTGCTTGGTCACCACAGCCCAGGTCAGGGCAATAAACCAGCTCTGTTCTTCTGACCATCCCTGTGTGCCCAACCTGCTCCTTATTCTCAAGCTGCCAGCAGAAGCCTAAGAATGGATCAAGAATCTTGATGCCAGCTTGGTGCTTGCTTCAGTCCTGTCAGCAGCTGTGGCTGCCCCATCCCTGGCAGTGCTCAAGGCCAGGCTGGACACAGGCGCTTGGAGCAAGTGGAAGGGGTCCCTGCCTGTTGCACGGTGCTGGAGCTGGAGGAGCTTTAAGGTCCCTTCCAACACAAACCATCCCATGGTTTTATGGGATACCCCTGCACATGGTGTTGTCTGCAGGAGCTCCATGGAGCTGCTGTCAATGCACATTTCATGTTGTTCTAGTCTGTTCTGATTAAATGGTGTGCCCAGGACCCATCAGCATGACAAGCAGGGCAGGACTGAGCTTTCAGGCAGTAACTCTTCTGGCCCTTGCTCAGTGTTTGAGTTGCTGTTGCTGCAGGAGAACTTTCCCCCTTTGCAAGTGCTTTGCAGTAAGTGCAGAGCAGTCTCTGTGCTGATGGGGTATGAGCACAGCCTGGGGATACTGGGCTGAATGACAGCTAAAAGCAGCTGTAAGGGAAGGTTCTGGTACAAGGGAGCCCAGCTGCAGGCTCCAGTGAACTGAAGGTTTCTCCTGCATTGCCTGAGTCTGCCGGTTAATTGGGGCAGGTGGGAAACCAGTGCTGGATTGTGCCTACTGCTGGAGGCCTCCATCCACTGCCCACCATGGCTGTTGGAGACACCTGCAGCCAGCAGACCTCCAGACCTTGTTCTCTGCATAGATACAGCGGTGTGTGTGTGTGTGTGATTTTAGATTATTTGTCCATTCCTAGAGCTTTTTTCCCATTCCCTGTGAGTGAGTGCTGGGACTCAGGCAGCAGAAGGCAGCTAGTTGCACACACAGAGTGGCTTTCTCCCCTTCCTGTCTGAAACTCGGCTTCAACAGAGCTCAGAATTCAACAGAACAAACAGTTCTGGCTTCAGGATGCATCTCCCTGTTTCCTGAGGCACCGGTGACGCTTTCCAACTGTGAAGCATAGCGTGTGGGCCCTGTAGATGCACGGTTCCAGAGCGGTTCTGCCCGGAGTCCTGGTGGCACACGTCAATAGTGCCAGTGACAGCGCTGGCTAGAAGGCTGGCTTCCTGCGTTGGTGCTGTCCATGTGCCCTCTCTGGTTTTGTCTTCACTTACCAGTATGAAAAACGGGTCCTGAGGTGACTCTTCTCCGGGCTGCGGCTTAGGATTTCTGTGGGGTATCTGGAGCCACTGTGGTAGCTGTCATCTGTCCCAACTCCATCCTCCCCAGCGGTCGGGGCTTCCACTTAACCTTTCCAGGACTTCATTGTGCTGCGTGTAGGCTGAGGGGGCAGCACTGGTGTGTGGTGCTGATGCTGTGTTTGTGAAGCGTGGGGACCGTGTGGCTCATCATCATTAGCTAAATCATGTACTTGACATGCTGAGAGCCCGAGTCTCCCCTTGTCTCATTTTCAGAGGCTCAGGCAATACACAAGGTCTTCTTCAGCTTAAACCTCGTATCCTTCTAGGCCTGGGGTTAGCGTACCTTAATGCACACTTAGGTTTGCAGTTGCACTCTGTAGCAGAACCATATTTGTGGTTCTTTGAACTTGAGACTGTTGAAAGCACTTGTGGGTCAACACTGATCCAAAGCATTGAATTTAATACTGGGGAAGTCCCAAAGGATTTGGAGAAATCAGATGTTACACTGGCATTTCTAGGAATAGGTGGGATGATTTGGTGGCTCTTTGCTGCTTTAGTTAGCTTCCATCAAAGGAAGGAGTCATGGGAAGCTGTTGATAAAAGATAAGACCACCCAGGTCATGGCATGTCAGGCAAACCTGGCCTTGCCCTGGTGCCAGCCAGTGGCTGGCTGAGGTAGCAGCAAATAGTCTTGCATAAAGATTTTAATTAAAACAATCAAGAAGCAGTGTGGTAACTGCTGGAAATGATTTCATCTGGATCAGATCAGCATCTCCGTGTTCTGCACAAATGAAAGAGAATGTGGGTCACGTTTACTGGAGTGACCTGACATCAAAGCAGGCGCTTGCTGAGATTATCCATGGACTGTGATGTTAAATCTGCTGCTTCATTAGGGGATTGGCACAGCTCTTAAAAACTGTATTGTGTTGGTAGTAGGCATAGAGGGATGGGTAACTGCAGTGCATCATTATCCGTGCTGCTAACAGAAGCACACCATGCTGTCTGCATCCATCAGCTGGGGTGAGAGGTGGCCCTACAGGGACCTTTGCTGAAGGCTCTGGCCCATCATGCTACCAAGGGGAGGTAGGGCCGGAATGAGCCTGTAGATACTGCTTCCTGGGAGGCTGCACGGGGCAATGGCTGGGTGTCCTGATACTGGGAAGCAGCACTCTTCCTGGAAAGGTCACTTCCCTCTTTCCCCACCCACAGCACTGGCTGTTGGGAACGGCTGTAATGTGAAAGCTGGTAAAGAGATCACACGCTGTTAGAAAAGGGCGTTGTGAGCTTCTCCTGCATCCGCTTCGGGTGTTCCCAGTCAAATAAGGCCTAGTGAAGAAGTCTTCACTGATCCAAAGCCATGGTCTAGTGTAGCAGGAGGCAAATCCCCTCTGCGCAGTGCAGGTTCACAGGCAGCAGGTCTGTTTGCAGGCAAGAAACCTTCTCAGAGAATCATGAGCAGCCCCTGAAACAGCCACAGTTCATAGAATCATCCCAAACTGATGGAAGGGACCTTAAAGCTCATCCAGTTCCATCCCCCTGCCATGGGCAGGGACCCCTTCCACTGGAGCAGCTTGCTCCAAGCCCCTGTGTCCAACCTGGCCTTGAGCACTGCCAGGGATGGGGCAGCCACAGCTTCTCTGGGCACCCTGTGCCAGCGCCTCAGCACCCTCACAGGGAAGAGCTTCTGCCTAATGTCTCTTGTTGACCCAGTCTGTGCTGGGGACAGCATCATGTGAGTACCACTGGTAGTTTGAGGTGAGCAGAGTCTGGCCAGCATCTATAGAGTAGCCATGGCCTTTTTGCTCTGTGTCTTTAATGGATGTGATGTTTCTGAACATCCACAATGGCCTTTTCCTGATAGACAAGGGAAGTGTGTCCCTTTGTCACATCACGCAAGGCAGCACCCATCACACAAGTGTCTCTGCCTTAAGATGGGCATAACCTGTGCAAAATTCCTTCATCCTGATGGGCAATGATCCTTCATCCAGGATGGGCTGGGACTGGAAAATGTAAGTGCAGTGCCTTACATTAATTACATGGTGCATCTGCAGAAGTCCCTTCCCTGGAAATGGTGTTCTTTCGGGGACAGGAGCAGGTTTTCCATGTAATTTATGTAATAAATGTTTTTATTTATTTATTACAAATTATTGCAAATATTTATTAACAAATAAATGTAATTTATACCTCACTGGTGAAGAATGGGGTTCATCTGCTTAACAAATAAATGTAATTTATACCTCACTGGTGAAGAATGGGGTTCATCTGGCTAATGCAGATGTCCATCAACACGGGTACCTCTGCTCCTGAGCTGATGGTCTCCTGTAGGACCCCTAGGAAGGGCACCTCTCCAGGGCACTGAGAGCAGGCATCATGTCTGCAGCAGCACGGGTGCTCATGTGTTTGCTCTCTGGCTATGAAAGAGGCCTGGAGCCCCTAACTCAGATGTAGACACAGAAGTGAGTTCTTCCCTTCCTGGTGTTGTTCATTTGTGTTGTTCGCATTTCATCTGTGGTACCAGGAGATGGAGGAGGCTTTGGGGACCCTGTGGGAGCAGATGCGACTCTTGGGGCTACCTGGGGGTCTAAGCTGATGATAACAGTATGCATGTAGCACTAGCTCTGCCTCCTGTAGCACTAGCTCTGGTTCCTGCACTGATGTCAAACTAAGCCTTGGATGTGTATTCTTTCTTAAGCAAAATACAGAGACTTTCCCATGCTCCTGGACATCCTTGACCACCTTCTGCTTGGTTTCTGCCACAGCATCTCAACCTCACTCTCCCTTCGTGTTTTGCAGCTGAAACCCCAATCGAGGAGTTCACCCCGACCCCGGCCTTCCCTGCGCTCCAGTACCTGGAATCAGTGGATGTGGAAGGTGTCGCTTGGAGAGCAGGGCTTCGCACGGGGGACTTTCTGATCGAGGTGAGCCAGGAAGGGGCAGGAGGGTGAGCGGTGGCTGCCACCAGCATCTGCCTCTGCAGGTCCTGTGTCTTGCATGAAATTGGTTTGCTCTAGAAGGGATTTTGAGAGCTGGGTAATAATTGTTGCTGACATGACTGCTGCCTGATGTCTTGATGAAAAGCTGCAGTTCAGGTACAATAATTCAAACAGTTGCATGTTCTCTGTGCTAGAAGATGAGCTGACAGGTTCCCTCCTGTTAACTGAAAACAGAGGCTGGAGAAAAGACTCCTCAGATGCTCTCTCTGGAGGCCAGTGTCAGGGTTGTTTTGTACTGGTATTGTAGCTTTGCCCAATGTGGTGTAAGTATTGGGGTGTATACAGAAGATTGATCAGGTATGAAGGGCTCTGCTCTGGTATCACCCCTCTGGAGGAGGCGATGCTGGGGCTGTGCATCACCTTCATTCCACTCCGAGGCCACAGGCGGATGGATTTTCCTGGTCATGTTTAACAGAAAGGAAAGCAAGACCTCGAGTCCTGTTAAACGAGTGCCCGGGGGGCTCAGCAGCATGATACAGTGAGGTGAGATCGAGGTGCAGACTCCCTGGGACACAGGCAGGAGACAGAAGAGAAATGACACAGGATCAGACAGGGCACAGAGCAGTCGTGACACAGGAGCTGCCTCATGGTGAGTGAGCGCAGCAGAGAATTGGCTTAAGGAGTGACTTAAAAGAAAGCAGTAACAGTAATTTTTTACAGGGATGCTCCTCACTGAAAGAGGAGAGTGCAGGAGACAGCAGTGTGGTGCTTGCAAAGGGAAATGGTGTTCAGAAGCCAGTGGGTGCGGTGTGAAGAGCCCAGGTCTGCGTTCTTACAGCCGAGGGAACGGCTGTTGCGATGCAGTGTCGTTCTGATGAGGAATGATTCAGGTGCTTGTGAATCACACAATCACGATGCCCATGGCTAGGCCTTCATTGTAAAGGGATCCCAGAGAGTTTGTTTCAAAGATGAGTCAGTGCAGAAAGGGGTGTGAGATGGATCCTGCCCTTTCCAAGGGAGCAACAGGGGCAGAAGAGGTGGAGTGAGGCCGACCGTGCACTAGATGGGATGGGAACTGTGAAGGTTTGAGGTGTGTTATGTGGTTGGACTCCACTGCAAGTCTCCTTGCAGTAAGTCTGAGCAGGACACACGGGACGGGCAGTTGTACAGCCGGAGGGAGGGCTGGCATCCCCTGGGATTCTTCTCTCTTGCGTCATCTCATGCAAAAATCATGAGGCTTTAAAGCCAGTAATGGAGGATGTGATACCTCTGCTGGTCTGCGGTAGGCGGAGGGGATGTAGGTTGTGTTGTGTGTGGTGCTGGGCAAGCAGAGCTGCACCTTCTGGTAGGCAGACAAGGGAGGTTGTGCTGACTGTGGGGCTGGGACCGGGGGGCGGGTGATGAGGCTTCGCTCAGCTCGGCTGCCGCAGTTCCCTCTGCTGACAAACACTCCCTTGGCCGGGGTGGCCATCACCAAGGAGCAGGCAGTTGGTTGAGGCACCCTGGGGCTCCCAGCAGTGCTCGGGGGGTTCACTGCAGCGAGGACCTCTGACACAGCCATGGACTTGACAGTGGATGTGCGGCTGGTGTTTGCCTGAAGCAGGGCTGGCTGAGCTGTGTCCGTGTTGTGATGTGTCTGTGCTGAGGTGCTGAATCTGCTGTGCCCTTCGTGGGAGACATGAAGTCCCACAGTGGTGCTGGCCAGGCAGGAGGATGGATGGGTAGCATGTGGGACATGGGCCCCCATAGCCAGGGAGACTGGGAATGCCACAGTGAGTTTCACCCATCAGCAGAGGTGCAGGTCGGGAAGAGCACATCCCTCTGCCGCTCTCTTTCCTGCTCTTAGTGGGCTTAGATCTCCCCCCCATACCAGCAGCAAACCTTTTGAGAGCAGCTCCCAGTAGGGCCGTTCACTCCATCCATCCTGGGCCCAGGTCCTGCAGCCAGAATGTCCTCAAAAGCTGCAAGTAGGAGGTTGCTGGCAAAGGCTGCGTGACCCAGATAGCCTTGTGCCAACAGCTCTTCTCTTCTTGGGGTGTCTTCTGCTGCGTCCTTGGGGTGTCTCCTGCTGCGCCCTTGGGGTGTCCCCTGCTGCGTCCTTGGGGTGTCTCCTGCAGCCTCTAAAGAAAGCTGGTGAAGTGCCAGTTGCCATAAGCCTGACAAACCCGTTATAGAGCTGGTACATTTTCTGATATGTGCTATTACAAAGCCAGGAAGAATTTCAGATGCACATAAAGCCACATGGGGTGCAAGGAGGAGGCTGAAGAGCAGGTCAGTCCTACAGCAGAGCAGCCTCACCTGGACTGGAATCTGTGGTCCTTGTCCTCTCCCTCCCAGTTGGGATATTGAGCTGCAGAATGGATGCACTTACTGGTTGCCATTTCCTTGGGATCAGCTAGCTGAGCTGGCTTCCCCTGTGGCTGCATGATCATTAAATCTATGGCAAGTGGAGCAATAGGCATGTGTGGTTTCCCTGGGAAGGGAAGCCGGAGGTGGGTTTAGAATAAGCACAGCAGCTTTGCCGCAGTGTAAAGCTAGTTCCCACCGGCAATAGTCAGAAAATGAGATGCTGTGATATGGCTTGAAGCCTTGTACAGGTCTCTGGGACCATCTTCAACCTCTCCAAGTGTATGAATTAGAAGTGTTCGATTTAGATGGAAGGTGCATGGGCATTTTGAGACTTCATTTCTAGCCTTGTATCGTGTATCCCAAGACCATCTCTTGCTGAAATTAATCTTTAGCCTTTTAGCTTTAAAGATATCCTAGTATTGGACATCAGTGCTAGATGTAGGTAAGGTGCTTTAACACTGGAGTTAGCAAATTAGAATCCCAGACTGGTTTGGGTTGGAAGGGATCTTAAAACTCATCCAGTTCCAACACCCTGCCATGGGCAGGGACGCCTTCCACTAGAGCAGGTTGTTCCAGGCCCCATCCGAGACCTCTGAGCACCTTCCATACGAATGAAGGGCCATGAGTGGTCTTGCCTGACGTGGCAGGCTGAAGCCTGCTTGGATGGTGGGTTGGGGTGGCTTTGTCAGTGGGACCCGTGGGATGGCTGTATGGAGCTCAAGACACTCGCTTGGCAAGTGCTGGTGTCCTCACCTGATGCTTCCTTCAGCAAGGCTGGTCTGTGTTCGTGTTTAACTAGGAAATGTCTCCTTGATTTTGTGAAGGTGGAGAACTCCATCAGAGCCCTCCCTGGCTCCTCCAGTCTCCCCAGTTGCTGGCACTTGAGTGCATGAACCCCTGAGACCCATTTGTTGGTACCCGGATCTCTCGGTACACGTGCACACTGATGTGCACACCCACATGCACTGGATCCCATAGGCTTTAGACACTGGATCTGTCCAGCAGCTGGTCTTCAGCCCCCATGTCTCCCTGGCTGCCTAATGCACAGGCACACAGAGGCACAAGCAGTCTCCCTGGCTGCTCCGGACACTGTGTTTACCAGTAGCTGACTTTCAGCCTACTGGTCAGCTACTGGTTCTTCTGTAGTAAATCCCCAGACCCCAGTCCCTTTGCTCTCCTCTGCTTGTTCTTGCCCGATCCACTATCATCCCACCCTGCTCCTGCCTTCAGTCCTTTCATTGGGCATCTTGGTAGGTCTCACACATGACAACACAGAATTAACCCAGGATCCAGCATTAGCAACCCATCCTGTCTTCAGTCTGTACGTATTGATGTACGCTGCCCGCTCCCCCCTCTCTGCTGGGATTTATCTCCTGTTGATCCCAGCTTTAACAGCATCTGCTGCAGGACTGCCCAGCTCCCTTATGCTCCTCCACCTTGGGCTGTCTTCTGGCTCTGAGCTGTGACAGAGGGAGCTGGGAGCTATGCAGAGAGGTAACCTCAGTCCTGCAATGCCACCTACCAACAGAAATCCAGCATCAGAAGCAGCATGTTTAAAATGCTGTCCTCATGGCTTATTCTGGGACCCCTACACCAGCCTAGTCCCTGGTCTTCCAAGTCTTTGCAGCTCTAAAGTACCATAATAATAGACTGGAGTATGTTGCTCTCATTCCACTGGCTCTTTTTCCCTTGCTTTCTGTATTTGTTGCTTTTTCTGGTCCCTTTCATTGTGCTTCAAATCCTCTCTCAGGAGGTCCGGACACTTCTCACTGGAGTGAACAGGTTTCATTTCTAATCCCAGTACATCCTGTGGAGTGCCCACCAGTGCTGAATCGCTTTTTGTGTTGGCTCAGCCTCTGCTTGCTGCAAAGCATTCAGTGGAGATCTGGAGTTGGTTACTACTGCAGGTTGAAGCACTGTCTGGGTTTTAGGCTTGCAGGAGAACCCTCTGATGCTGGACAGGATTGTCCGGACACTTCAGTGCCCAGCTCGCAAAGGGGAGATTCTGCCTCGAGGAGCACAAAGCCTGCACGAGCAGGGCAGGAGATGCATCACACAGCACTGCTCCTTGCTTCACTGGAAGCCTGTGCAGTGGCAGGGCAGCCCTTTGGTCTGCTGGGGGAACCAGGCATGTCACTCGTGGTTGTCTTGCAGTTCTTCAGCTTTATCCCATGAGCTGCTGCTCACCCCCAATCTCACTGTTCCATTCACTTCCTAACCCCTTAATATACTTCCCAGCCCCTGTCCCTCTGTTCCCTGGCTTGACCCCCCCATGGCCACTGTCAGAAATGTACATCTGGTTGTGCTTTCTTATGGGCACAATTGCTGCTTCCTTCCTTTATCTGTCAAAAGCCCAGAGGCCTCCACACAGTGCATGTGCCCATGTGTCAGGAGAAGCCACCCAGGTGAAACTCTAGCAGTAACTGCTCAGCATCTTTGTTATCTGCTGATTCAGCAGCCGGAGGATCCCACTTTGCAGATTCTTATGCTAAAACAAGTACATGAACCAAGTTATTTGCTATCATGAGGTCTTCTCAAGACAGATCCTCAGTTCATCACCAGTGTGGAGGCTGCTCTTTCTTCCTTGTGGCTGACCTTGCCCATCTGTCAGGAGTGGGACTCGGATCAGCCACGGG